GGGGTCACTGGGGCAGCTCACCGACCCCCTAGTACTCTGCTAAAGCCAAGCTGGGAGCTGCTGGGCCATGGGATCCCCCTGCACCCCAATAACCATCCTTCTCCTTCTGCCCATGCTGCAGGGTAAGTGGGGGCTGGGAGCCAGGACACCTGGGTTCTGTCCTTGGCTTGGCCACAGATTCCCTGTGTGACCTTCAGCAAGTTCCAGATCTCTCTGAGTCAGTTTCCCTAGATTTAAAAGGGGGAGAATGTTCCTGCCCTTGTCTGTTAAGACTGTGAGCCCTTCGGAGCAGGGACTGGCTCCCACTTTGGGTCTGGGCAGCACCTGGCACAAAGGATTCCTGGCCCATGTTAGGGTATTGTAGGTCCTACAATAATACAGAGAATACTAGTAACAAAACATATGTCTGTCTGTCTCAACTGCATCTGACTGTCTACATCGTATATGCCCATCAGTCTAGATTGCGTCTGCCCCTCTGTCTAAATTCTGCCTGTCTAGGCTGTCTGCCTCTTCATGTATTGTATCCAACCACCTGTCTCTATTGTGTCTGTCTGTCTGTTTAGATTGTGTCTATCTAGATTGTGTCTGTCTGTACCGTCACCATCTGTCTATATTGTGTCTGTCTGTCTAGGACGGGTCTTTCTCTCGTTACCCACAGCGATAGAAAATAAATAACCCCAAGAATACTGTGAAATTCCTTGGGCGGTTCTGTCCTTGGCCATTTGCCCAACTAAGACAACACAAGGGACCCCGCGCAACCTGGAGGTACACACACACAACCCAGAGTTTAGCCACACACAAACACACATATACACACACAGACGAACCCGGTGAGCCAACTTGAGAAAGCTCCCTTGCCATTTTGGGACACATTCCCCCATTCGGCATATGACAACAGCCCCGTGTCACAAAAACACGGGTGGGGGAGTTCTCAGCCGCACGGGGCCCGGGGACAGACCAAGGGGCCAATGTGCCTGAGGTGGGGGGGAGGCTGGGAATGGGGAGGGTGAACACTTGGGGGGGGGGCATTGGCGGCCCATGAAACAGTTTCCCTACAAGGGTGAGAAGAGGCAGGTGATAGGAGGACTGGCTGGGCCACATTCCCCGCCCAGGCAGAGAGCTGACACTGGGCAGTGGGGTCACTGGGGCAGCTCACCGACCTCCTAGTCACCTGTGGAAGCTGAGCTGGGAGCTGCTGGACCATGGGATCCCCCTGCACCCCAATAACCATCCTTCTCCTGCTGCCCATGCTGCGGGGTAAGTGGGGGCTGGGAGCCAGGACGCCTGGGTCCTATGGGAGGGCTGTGGGGGCTAGTGGGTTAGCTCAGAGGGGTGGCCGAGAGCCAGGACTCCTGGGTTCTATCCCAGATTCTACCACAGACTCCTTGTGTGACCTTGAGCAAGTCCTGGATCTCTCTGAGTCTCAGTTTCCCTGGATGGAAAAGGGGGAGAATGTTCCTGCCTTTGTCTGTTAAGACTGTGAGCCCTTCTGGGCAGGGACTGGCTCCCACTGTGGGTCTGGGCAGCACCTGGTACAAAGGATTCCTGGCCCATATTAGGGTATTGTAGGTCCTACAATAATACAGAGAATATTATTAAGAAAAAATATGTCTGTCTGTCTCAACTGCATCTGACTGTCTACATCGTATATGCCCATCAGTCTAGATTGTGTCTGCCCCCGTCTAAATTCTGCCTGTCTAGGCTGTCTGCCTCTTAATGTATTGTATCCAACCACCTGTCTCTATTGTGTCTGTCTGTCTGTTTAGACTGTGTCTATCTAGATTGTGTCTGTCTGTACTGTGTCCGTCTGTCTATATTGTGTCTGTCTGCCTAGGATGGGTCTATCTTTCATTACCCACAATGATACAATATAAATAACCCCAAGAATACTGTGAATTTCCTTGGGTGGTTCTATCCTTGGCCATTGAGACAAAAAAGAGAACACGACGGACCCCATGAGCCCCTGAGCTACACACACATCGGAGTTTAACTGTGCACACACACCCTGGAGTCTAGCTATAGACACACACACACACTGTGGAGTTGAGCTGTACACACACAGAGACACACACACAGATGCACACACACACACACACACACACACACACACACACACATACACACAGATGCGCGCACACACACACACACGCACGCACACAGCAGAACCCTGTGAGCCCCTTGGGAAAACCCTCCGGCCATTTCAGGACACATCCCCCCATTCTGCGAAGGTCAGAGGGTGGGGGAGTTCTCAGCCGCACAGGGCCCGGGGACAGACCGAGGGGCCAATGCGCCTGGGGCGGGGGGGAGGCTGGGAACGGGGAGGGTGAACACTGGGGGAGGGGGTTGGTGGCATATGAAGTGGTTTCCCTGGAAGCGTGAGAAGAGGCAGGCAATGCAGGGACTGGCTGGGCCACATTCCCCGCCCAGGCAGACAGCTGACACTGGGCAGTGGGGTCACTGGGGCAGCTCACCGACCCCCTAGTCCCCTGCAGAAGCCGAGCTGGGAGCTGCTGGGCCATGGGATCCCCCTGCACCCCAATAACCATCCTTCTCCTGCTGCCCATGCTGCAGGGTAAGTGGGGGCTGGGAGCCAGGAAGCCTGGGTTCTATCCCTGGCTCTGGGAGGGGAGTGGGGGCTAGTGGATTAGCGCTGGGGGGCTAGGAGGCAGGACGCCTGGGTTCTATCCTGGTTCTGCCACAGACTGCCTGTGTGACTTTGAGCAAGTCCCGGGTCTCTCTGAGTCTCAGTTTCCGTAGATGGAAAAGGGGGAGAATGTTCCTGCCTTTGTCCGGTTAGACTGTGAGCCCTTTGAGGCACGGCCTGGCTCCCATGGTAGGTCTGGGCAGCACCCGGCACCACGAGGCCCTGATCTTAGCTGGAGTCTGAGCAGCACCTGGAACAAAGGATTCCTGGCCCATATTAGGGTATCGTAGGTCCTATAATAATACAGAGAATACTAGTAACAAAACATATGTCTGTCTGTCTCAACTGCATCTGACTGTCTACATCGTATATGCCCATCAGTCTAGATTGCGTCTGCCCCTCTGTCTAAATTCTGCCTGTCTAGGCTGTCTGCCTCTTCATGTATTGTATCCAACCACCTGTCTCTATTGTGTCTGTCTGTCTGTTTAGACTGTGTCTATCTAGATTGTGTCTGTCTGTACTGTGTCCATCCGTTTATATTGTGTCTGTCTGTCTAGGACGGGTCTATCTCTCATTACCCACAATGATACAAAATAAATACCCCAAGAATACTGTGAATTTCCTTGGGCGGTTCTGTCCTTGGCCATTTACCCAACAAAGACAATACCAGTGTCCCATACACCCCTGAGGTACGCGCGCACACACACACACAAATAGATGCAGAGATGCACACAGCCCCAGAGTCTAGCTATAGACATACACATCCTGGAGTTTAGCTGCACAAACACACACACAAACACACACGCACACAGATGCACACAGAAGAACCAGGTGAGCCACCTTGGGAAAGCTCCCTGGCCATTTCGGGACACATCCCCCAATCCACGTTGGCCAGCAGCCCCGTGTCACAGAAACACGGGTGGGGGAGTTCTCAGCTGCACGGGGCCCAGGGACAGAGCGAGGGGCCAGTGCGCCTGGGGTGGGGGGGAGGCTGGGAATGGGGAGGGTGAACATGGGTGTGGGGGGTTGGCGGTTTCCCTGGAAGGATGAGAAGAGGCAGGTGATAGGAGAACTGGCTGGGCCACATTCCCCAGCCAGGCAGACAGCTGACACCGGGCAGTGAGGTCACTGGGGCAGCTCACTGACCCCCTAGTACTCTGCTAAAGCCGAGCTGGGAGCTGCTGGGCCATGGGATCCCCCTGCACCCCAATAACCATCCTTCTCCTGCTGCCCATGCTGCAGGGTAAGTGGGGGCTGGGAGCCAGGATGCCTGGGTCCTATGGGAGGGTGTGGGGGCTTGTGGGTTAGCACAGAGGGGTGGCGGGAGCCAGGACTCCTGGGTTCTATCCCAGATTCTGCTGCAGACTCCTTGTGTGACCTTGAGCAAGTCCTGGATCTCTCTGAGTCTCAATTTCCCTGGATGGAAAAGGGGGAGAATGTTCCTGCCTTTGTCTGTTAAGACTGTGAGCCCTTCTGGGCAGGGACTGGCTCCCACTGTGGGTCTGGGCAGCATCTGGCACAAAGGATTCCTAGCCCATGTTAGGGTATGGTAGGTCCTACAATAATACAGAGAATACTAGTAACAAAACATGTCTGTCTGTCTCAACTGCATCTGACTGTCTACATTGTATATGCCATTGTGTCTGCCTCTCTGTCTAAATTCTGTCTAGGCTGTCTGCCTCTTAATGTATTGTATCCAACCACCTGTCTCTATTGTGTCTGTCTGTCTGTTTAGACTGTGTCTATCTAGATTGTGTCTGTCTGACTGTGTCCATCCGTTTATATTGTGTCTGTCTATTTAGGATGGGTCTATCTCTCATTCCCACAATGATATAAAATAAATACCCCAAGAATACAGTGAATTTCCTTGGGCGGTTCTGTCCTTGGCCATTTACCCAACAAAGACAATACCAGTGTCCCATACAGCCCTGAGGTACGCGCACACACACACACACAAATAAACACAGAAATGCACACAGCTCCAGAGTCTAGCTATAGACATACACACCCTGGAGTTTAGCTGCACAAACACAAACACACACGCACACAGATGCACACAGAAGAACCAGGTGAGTCACCTTGGGAAAGATCCCTGGCCATTTCAGGACACATCCCCCAATCCACGTTGGCCAGCGGCCCCATGTCACAGAAACATGGGTGGGGGAATTCTCAGCTGCATGGGACCCGGGGACCCGGGGACAGAGCAGGAGGCCAATGCGGCTTGGGCAAGGGGGAGGGTGATCATGGGGGTGGGGAGGGTTGGCGTCACATGATGCAGTTTTACTGGAAAGACGAGAAGAGGCAGGCGATAGGGGGACTGTCTGGGTGACATTCAACAGCCAGGCAGACAGCTGACACCGGGCAGTGGGGTCACTGGGGCAGCTCACCGACCCCCTAGTTCCCTGCGGAAGCCCAGCTGGGAGCTACGGGGTCATGGGAGCCCCCTGCACCCCAATAACCATCCTTCTCCTGCTGCCCATGCTGCAGGGTAAGTGTTGGCTGGGAGCCAGGACACCTGGGTCCTATGGGAGAGGTGTGGGGGCTAGTGTATTGGAGCACGGTGGGCAAGAAGTTAAAATTCCTGTGTTCACTTGAAAGGAGAGTGGGGTCTATTAGGCTAAAGTGGGTGGGAGGGGCTGGGAGCCAGGACTCCTGGGTCCTATGAGAGGAAAGAGGGGGCTAGTGGGTTAGAGCAGGGGGTACTGGGATCCAGGACTCCTGGGTTCAATTCTCACCTCAGCCACAGACACCCTCTCTCATCCCCACTCTCTGAGCCAGCACCAAAAATGTATTGTAGGGCTCCCAAAATGCTCTAAATATTGTAATAACCCAGGGATGAGGCTTCAGCAGGGAAGCGGTTAACAAGATATGAAGTGCAGCTGTGTCCCATGGGCGGGGCAGGGTGAAAAAGACTCAGGTGTTGTCTCAGAGTCAAGAAGGAACCCAGGAGTCCTGACTCCCAGCCCCCACTGCTCTAACCACTAAACCATCCTCCACTCCCCTCCCCTAGCTGGGGAGATAGACCAGGTGTCCTGAGAGCTGTGTGTTATTTTGCACTGTTTACTTTTAGTGAGCGTCTCTTTCTGTGTTTCTTTTGCTGTCTTCCTGATTCCTGTTCATTTCTGAAACCGGTTCCCCCGCTTTGCGCCATCTGTGACTCCTTCTCCTGTCTCCCTCAGCTGCACGGGACAATGGAATCCAGACAGGTAAGTAACCTATCACTGAAATCATGTCACCTATCACCGCAATCAGCCTCTGCACCAGATGACTGGAGGGTAGCTAATGTGATACCGACTTTTTGAAAAAGGCTCCAGAGGCGATCCCGGCAATTACAGACTGATGAGCCTAACTTCTGTACTGAGCAAAGTGCTTGAAACTATAGTAAAGAACAGAATTGTCAGACACATCGATGAACACGATTTGTTGGGGAAGAGTCAACATTGTTTTTGTAAAGGGAAATCATACCTCACCAATCTACTAGAATTCTCTGAGTGTGTCAACAACCATGTGGACAAGGGGGATCCAGTGGATAAAGTGTACTTGGACTTTCAGAAAGCCTTTGACAGGGTCCCTCACCAAAGGCTCTGAAGCAAAGTAGGCAGCTATGGGATAAGAGGGAAGATCCCGTCAGTATCTGGTTAAAAGTCAGGAAACAAAGGGTAGGAATAAATGGTCAGTTTTCACAATGGAGAGAGGTAAATAGTGGTGTCCCCCAGGGGTCTGTACTGGGATTACTGCTGTTCAACACATTCATAAATCATCGGGGGAAAGGGGAAAAGTGAGTTGGCAAAGTTGGCAGATGTTACAAAATACCTTGTTAGTGAAGTCCAAAGCAGACAGTGAAGAGCTACACATGGATCTCACAAAACGGGGTGACTGGGCAATAAAATAGCAGATGAAATTCAATGTTGATAAATGCAAATTAATGCGCATTGGAAAACATAATCCCAACTATAGATATAAAATGATGGGGTCTAAATTAGCTGTGACCACTCAAGAAAGAGATCTTGGAGTCATTGTGGAGAGTTCTCTGAACACATCCACTCAATGTGCAGCGGCAGTCAAAAAAGCCAACAGCATGTTGGGCATTATTAGGAAAGGGATAGAGAATAAGACAGAAAATATCATATTGCCTCTATATAAATCCACGGTACACGCACACCTTGAATACTGTGTGCAAATGTGGTCGCCCCATCTCAAAACAGATATTGCAGAATTGGAAATAGTACAAAGAAGGGCCACAAAAATGATTAGGTGTTTGAAGTAGAGATTAATAAGAGACCGGGACTTTTCAGCTTGGAAAAGAGACGACTAAGGGGGGATATGACAGAGGTCTATAAAGTCATAACTGGTGTGGAGAAAGTGAATGGGGAAGGGTTATTTACTCCTTCTCATAATAGAAGAACCAGGGGTCACCTGATGAAATTAACAGGCAGCAGGTTTAAAACAAACAAAAGGAAATATTTTTTCACACAACGCACTGTCAACCTTTGGAACTCCTTGCCAGGGGATGTTGTAAAGGCCAAAATTATAACTGGGCTAAAAAAAGAGTTAGGTAAGTTCATAGAGGTTAGGTCCATCTGTGGTTATTAGCCATGATGGGCAGGGACACAACCCCATGCTCTGGATGTCCCTAAACCTCCAATTGCTAGAATCTGGGACTGGATGACAGGGGATGGATCATTTGATGATTCCCTGGTCTGTTCATTCCCTCTGGGGCACTTGGCAGACAGGACACTGGGCTAGATGGACCTTTGATCTGACCCAGTATGGCCATTCTTATGTTCTTACATATGAATCACAACGCCGCAGGGTGGTGCTAGGGGGCGCTGTGCTGCAGGGAGAGGAGGCGCCCTCCCCAGAAAATGAGTGCTGGCGCCGATGCCCCAGGGTGGCACTAGGGGGTGCTGTGTAGCACCAAGCACCCCATAGGAGGCTGCATTGCACCTCAGTGCAGCTCCAGTCCCCTCCAGCAGGGAGTGCCACGTGTCCTCCGTTCTGTCACGGTTCTCTCCCTCCGCCCACAGTGTGTGGCCAGGGGGGGCCCCAGGACCGGATCGTGGCGGGAGAGGACGCCCCGCGGGGGGCCTGGCCCTGGCAGGTCAGTCTGCAGTATGAGAACCGCCACGTCTGCGGGGCGACCCTCATCAACTCGGAGTGGGTGCTCAGCGCTGCACACTGCTTTCCCAAGTGAGTGACCGGGGCTGGGCCAGCAGGGGGCGGCGGGTCGGGAGTGAGGGGCACCGGCAGAGCTGTGGAGGGGGAGGGGGACCCAGGGCTGGGCCAGCAGGGGGCTGCAGGTCGGGAGTGAGGGGCACCGCTGTTGGTCTCTGGGGCTGACCCCTCTCTCGCCCCAGGCATGCGGAGCTGTCTCGGTACCGAGCTGTCCTGGGCTCCCACCAGCTGTCGATCCCAGAGCCCGGCTCCCTGCGGCTGCCCCTGTCCCGCGCCGTGGGCCACACACTCTACTCTGGGGAGGGCTCCAGCGGAGACATCGCCCTGGCCCAGCTGGGCCGCCCCGTCACCTTCACCTCGCAGGTGCTGCCCGCCTGCCTCCCGGATGCCGGGGTCCACTTCCCCGCCGGGACCCTCTGTTGGGTTACTGGCTGGGGGTCGCCACAAGAGGGAGGTGAGGAGGGAGGAGGGGGGCAGCTGAGGGGGAGGGGAATGGGAGGGGGCAGGAGGAAGAACAGAGAGGGGAGGGGGGGAGTGGAGATGGGAGGGGCCATGAGGAAAGGGGGAGGGGAGGGGAACGCAGAGGAGGAGGGGCAAGGAGGGGGGAGCAGAGGGGAGCACTGGAGGGGACAGGGAGGGGGGCATTGTATTCTCCTCCTCCCCCAGGGTCCTCTCCCCCACCCAGGCAGTGTTAACCCTTCCTTCCCCCCAGCCCTGCTCCCAGCCCCCATGACGCTGCAGCAGCTGCAGGTGCCCCTGATCGACCCACTGCCCTGTGATGCCCTTTATCAGCGCCGGAGCGCCATGAGGGATATCCAGGACGACATGGTGTGCGCCGGCTACGCCGAGGGACAGAGAGACGCCTGCCAGGTGAGAGCAGGGGGCTGCGGGGCGGGAGTGAGGGGCACCGGCGGAGCTGGGGGGAGCCCGAGGGCTGGGCTAGCAGAGGGCTGCGGGTCGGGAGTGAGGGGCACCGGCAGAGCTGAGGGGGCAGGGCTGGGCTGGCAGGGGCTGCGGGTCGGGAGTGAGGGGCACCGGCAGAGCTGGGGGTGCAGGGCTGGGCTGGCAGGGGCTGCGGGTCGGGAGTGAGGGGCACCGGCAGAGCTGGG